ATAGTTTTTGGGTAAAAGTATTCTTATTCGCCTTATTGGTGAGGTTTATACGAGTTGATACAAACCAAAAAAATGAAGTAACATTATTTTGTAATGTAAAATGGGTCACTCAAAATGCATAGCAAATGCAAAAGAAATCCGCAAATGACTGTCAGTGGTAGTAATCAAGATATTTTTATTGTTTAAAAAATAGGGAGTTACGGCACGACCGGAAACAGTTTGTCCTTTAAGGACACACTCTAGAGCGGTCTGTTGGTTTATTCAGGTTTTTTTTTTATCTTTTTTGATCATCTCAATTTGTTTGTTGATGACTAAAAGACATTAACGGTGTTAAAAAAAAGATTTTTTTGGTGTAAGAAGTAGAATTATGCAGCCGGAAGATCTATGAAAAGTCGGTCTTGCACCAACTTAGGTGGTATTTCTTCTTAGTCATCATTTTCGTCGTCTAGTGTTTCGTAGGCGTTTTGGTTCAATGATAGCAAAAAAAAGGGAAGAAAGAACAGATGAATATAAATAAGTATCAGCCCAAAAAATTTAGGGGTTTTATAATTTTGCGATAAAAGTGCAGACTACATTGAGAATTGAATAGGACGATGAAGGAGACAAATAAATTACGTATAAACTGTCGGCACGTATAAAAATGGTTAAAATTTTTGTTACTTAGAGAAAAATTGTTGTGAATGAATATTTTACCTTTGTCTGCCAAACACCACATAATTTTTGCTTATAAGCCGTTAAGAATAACAGTATGTCAAGACTGGATTCAGCTTCAATCTGACATGCGACACTGGTCAACAGACAAAGCATATAAGCATTGGAACTACAACTAGGATTCAGTACCATTAATGGACTGTCGTGGTACTGTAATCGACGATGCTGAACTCGACTGATTTCGGTCCATGTATCCAGCTCAAAGTCACTTTGTGATACATATAATGTTCGAATACACAGCTGTAAAAGGAGAAGTAAAATTAGATCAAATGTCACTGTTTGTTTTACCAATTTTGACGATTGCGATTTGAGGTCGGCAGTATAGAGTTACGGAAAGTTACCGATGTCACATACAACAATTGCAGAAAAATTATTCATGAAAAAATAATAGTTGAGGTTTTACTACAGGTGAAAAGGCGGTAGGATGAAGTCATACCTGATCTTCTTTGTTGCTTAAAATGATCATATCGTTGCTCATCCGTTGTATCCTCAGATCACCAGCAGTAGTCATTGTTTTACACCAAAATTGTTCGTCGCCAGCTAACAGCACAATGGTTTGACAATTTTTTTCCCACACCAAAGACCATAAATCTGCAGATTCATGTGGCCAAGTTGCAACAATAAATTCAGCATCACGATGGAAACCCTGTAAACATTTTTATACCATAACAAAATGTTTAGTTTTTTATTATTATTAAGCAGGATTAGTGATAAAAGTACAATTTCCAATAACAAATTGATTAAAAAACTGTTTGTCTCAGAATTTTGCATTAAAATTGAAACGAGCAGTTACCGGAAAAATTTCATATCCAACACCAATTCTACAGGTTGGTGTATGGTTACAGCTGCATATATCCTGAAAAACAAAAGGAGGGTGTAAAAGGCAGGAAATGCTGCAAAATCTGCATATTACAATAAATTTTTAGTGTAAAAGTATTTAATTTTAGTTCACGTATATAAACATACATATATCTATATGTTTATCGGCTTCAACATTAAACTCGCTGCTCTAATCTATAGAATTACACAATTAAAGTCTTGGAAGGAAAAAGTTTTTTAATCAGTGCTGATTTTCCGACTTAAAATCTATTTTTTTGTTTGATTTTTTCGCTCTTCCAACTTACATATTAACAATAATCAATATTTAGCTTCTTGACTGTTACTCCTTTTCTATGAATTTCTAAACAGTACCGCCAAAAAAGGCTCAAAATGGTGTCGAAATTGAATTTACAAATTAGTAACAATAGTGAAAAAAAAAGTGAAAAAAAAAAAAGAAGAATTAATTTTTTATTGAATTAGAGAAGAAATAAAATAACGTTTAAAAAAATCCGAAGGTAATCTTTTAATCAACCCGTTTATTAGTTCTTAACCGTAATGTATAGATTTGAGGATAAAGAAAGTAACAAAAAAACTTGGTTATTATCCTCGTGGTATTTTTGGAGAGGATTGATGGGTTTAGCAGTGGTGAGGAGAAAGACGAAGAAAATAAAAAAACTTGTGTAGAAGGGCAAAAAAAATTTATTTTTGTGTACATTTTGTTACATTTGGTTCAGTTTGGGTTTCGTTTTCGCGGTTTATAAGAACTAAATTGGCAACCGAAAAAATATAACAGACTTCGTATTGCATTTGCAGACGTGTTCGGCCATTTACTAAATTATGCGACAAATAATGCAAATATTGCATGAAATCATCCACATGGATATGTGTTGTACCGTTTAGAATCAACTGTCGTACCGCTTCATGGCAAAAAATATATTGCTCCTAAACAAAAATAAGTTTGCACTTATTATTGAGCCATAAATTCTTAAAGTCTGACAAGTGAGCAGGAAAGAGGAGAGTAGCAAAAAGCATTCAATAATTAATTACTGATTGTACTCAACAAGATAAATTGATATAGTCAAGTGATCGCGTAAGTTTGATCTTTGTCCTCGCCGGTGATCATCATTAATTTTAATTAGCACCAAAACTTTACATTATAAGAAAATAATACCCTTTCAGTCAAGCAAATTTGATTATTCTGAACCAGTTATTCGATTTGCTGTCATAACCGTTAAGGTTTCTTGTAGACAGAAAGAAGGTATTGAAATTGAAAAAAAAAGTACCAGTGTTTGCACTAATTTTGCTCTTTGTTGTCGAATATGCTTCAGATGTGCATCAATATTCAGTGAATCAGCTTGCATTAAATGCCTTCTCATACTATCAATTAGCATATAGGAACCAGAGCGACCTATGCCGGCGCTAAAAAACTTAAATTAG